ACAAATGCAAGAAATTAGAGGACGACGTACATTTGTATTTAAAGCCTGATTTTGTTTCRTTTTACTTCTGTAACTTTAAAATGTTTTGATCCTGTTTTATTGAAAAGAAAATAAACTGCAAGTGAGGCTTTAACCCAAACAGTTTTTTTCACAGGAGTAGGCTGTGAACGAAGGCTAAAAATGTTCAGGACTACTAAATGTAATGGAAACAAAGCACCTATCACCTAAATGAATTTTTGCTGCTAAGGCTGTTTTATGTTTGCTATTCTCAGGTACTAAAATTTATGATAGTAACCTTTATAAAGTCAATTTAATTATCTTTATCTTTTTACAAATAATAAATTTAGTTGTCCTACAATGAAAATCAATTGTCAACATAAGCTATGGTTAACATCTAATAAAACAGCCCTCTGTAAATCCATGATTAATAAGATTGGCTTCTGTATTAACTAACAGACATCATAAAATTTTCTTCCTTGCAATAATTTGTATATTCAAGGTTCATCCTGCTGGACTGAGTTTCCTAAAATAAACTGTTAGAGCGAATGAACAAAATTTTGGCGCCTATCATTATTATATTATAAACATTTAAATATGTATCTGCAGCTGAATGGTTTTCAAATTGATGCCATATTTTAATTAAGTCAGAGAAGATGGTGTCTATAGCAAATGATAAGTGATTCACTTCTTTGTTTCCTTTACCTTCTGAACATAATGACAATGCTTAGGTTTTAGTTTGAGCATTAGAGGAAGCTAATTGAAATGTGAAAAACCAATTTCCCAAAACAATCTTTACATATGACAGGGGTTACTTAAACTCTTCTGTCACCAAAATAACCCCAAATCAACAATAAAACAATCCCTTGCAACCAGCCAACCAACAAACAAAAAACCAAACCAAAGAAAATCCAACTACCAAAACCCCAACACCCAAAAAAAGCTCAGATTGGAATTTACTCCCTTAGAAACGTGCTCACAAATTTCTGTTTCCAAAGTGGGAACAGTGGTGCTCAGATTCAGTGTGAAGTTAAGTACCATAAGACAGAGGATATCTCAGCCATCCCTTGGAGATTTAAAATGTTCCTCTCCCTGTGATCCACATTCTGCCTAAGGACACTGGTGTGGTACTGTGGCCACTGCAGTCACTGCTAAAGCTTCAGCTGATGTTGGGTCTAGTCTTTAACAGCAGAAAATACCTTCATACCTATCCTGAAGGGTCCCAGTGCCTTTTTATAAACCAGGGGAAGTAGGAAGSCTTGCAACACCTGTAAAAGAGCACACAGAACTAGGGATGAAAATTACTACACCCTTTGCCCAGAAAAACCCTCCCAAATACCATGGAATCTTTTGGCCATTGAGACCTAGAAGGGGCCTTGGAGTGTTTTGTGGGTTTTTTAGGCATCATTATCACACTGAGTGTGTACTTTGGAAAATGGAGATTYTTCACCTTGCTGCAAGTCAAGTGACTGCAGCAGAATTAGCAAGACTGGACTTGTGCAGTGGGGAAATCAGTCCTCAGAGAAGCACCAGTCAGTATTATTATACAATATTATCAAAAGGTTGGGGAGGAASAGAAGTATCTTACTGTGTATTTAATCTGTTTTTAAAATGCTAAAAACCATATATTCTTTCCTGCTAATTGTTATTTTTCACTTTACAAAATTTCTATGTTAATTATGGAAAAATATATTTTTTTAATTAACCTCCGGCATTGAAAATTCTTTATCAGAAAAAAAARTCTTCACATAGTAGCTTTAGTGCTCTGGAGAGTATCAGAATAAAATAAAAAAAAATTAAAAATATATATTGACAATTGAGAAGCTCTGAAAAGATCTAATGTACTTTTATGAAATATTTCTGTTTATTTAATTTCYTTATTTGATCATTTTTATTAAAGGAAATGCACTAGTCAAGTTCTAAGTTTTAGTCAGTGTGCCTAATCCTTTGAATTACAATGATTAGGTTATAAACAGCAAGAGTGACAAAAGCATTTTAAGTATAACTGAGGAAGTCAAGGGAATATTTAYACAGGCTTAATATTCTGGAGAAAAGCAATTGAGTTAACTTCCATTATTTTACAAAATATAACTTTGTGCCACCTAAAAACCAAGCCATCTCATAAAGTTGTATAAAGATGGAAAAATGGGACAATTTTCAAACTTAGTATAAAAGGGACAGCTTGTTTCTAACCTTTTCCCCGATGAGAGACTGCTAGACCAAGCATTTGCTTCTTTTAATGTCTGAAGAGCACTTGTGTAGCTATACCATGCCCTCGTTTTGGTAGCTAGATCCTTTTCCAGGGAGCCAAAGAGCACATTAGAAATATTTCAAACACGGGAATGTAAACGTTCACTGCATTTGCTGTGCTCATACTTTTAACGATTTCAAGACAGAGCACAGCAATGCTGCTTGGATYGAGCTTGTGCTCACCCTACAAGGACAGCCTGCTTTGCTAGGTGGTCTGCATCTCACCTAGAGAACCCTGACACTTAAAGCCTATGAATGCAAAGCAGAGCATGATTTATTGTTATTTAACTTTATAAAGTAACTGCATGGGTGGGCGTCCAGTTTATAGAGCATTGCCCTCTACTATAAAAAGTAGTTGCAACAGGGAAAGAATAGTAGTCAAATGGTTGTAAACACTTATTTAAATGCATAAATTTTAAAATACAGTTAGTGAATATATTTCTTTTCCTGTTTTTAGTGCTTTCAAACATTAGAACTTCCTTTTATCCCCCTTAAATCTTTTTGATGAAAAAGGAATGTAAAATTCATTTTTCCAGTTCTTCCTAGTTAAATTTTATTCTTTTATCACTCCAAAGAGTTAAAGGCTTCCTCTTGCTTCCCCTACCCTTTTAACAGCTAATTGCAATGGTGACTGACACCTAACAGTCTACCTAAAAAAGCAGTCTAGCAACTCTGCACCTTCTCCTCACCCCTTTCTAGGCCCATGCAATTGTTTGATACCCAAAATAAAGGCAGTCAKCAACAGCAGCCAGTCAGCTTAGTCTTTTCTCTTTTCAAATAAACATTGCATCCTCCAACAACTCTGATGCAGTAAGTGCCACAGCTCCCTGATTTCCAGGAGGAAGCAGGGAGTTTCTTCTCTTTCCTGCTGCTCATTTTTCACTTGAAAAGGAAGCTGGTGGCTCTTAGTTGTCTGTGCTTCTTGCAGCCCTCTTATTGCTCTCTCTGCATTTCCCCTTTACATGCATTTAAATTTATTTTTCCTTATTTCATTTCCGCATATTGTACTCATTGTATCTAAGTTTTTTGTTAAAACAAGAGCTGTCTCATTAAACCATTAATCTAAAATCCAAAAAATACTCGTCAGATTAATTAGAACGTGGCTTTGTACCACAGCCCCAGTCACTACAACTGTCCCTCATGCCCAGCTGGGTTAAGTCAGTGTGGGTGTGGCCTGGCTAATTATTCCGTGGAAATGGCTTTGCACTCCTCTTGTAAAGGATGCCTTACACAGGAAAAAAAAAATCAAACCACTAAGTTAGCCTGGGCACTGCCATTGCTTTGCTCTGGGTTAGACCTACGATTACAATGACTGCATGAGAAACAATTCTTGCTTTACTTTTCTTACCTTTCTTTTCTTTTTGTCATATATTGCACAATAGACCAAAACAAATTAATGCTGCTTTCTGCTTTCTACTTTGGGCAATGCCTGTGTGGCGGAGAACAGAGAGCAGGCCAGACAAGTTTAGTCACCAAGAGGGTCCATTGTGCAGTGCCCTGCAGTAAAGCCCAAGACATGCACTAGATCATCTTTTACACAAATGTGGCCCTTCTTAAAAAAAAAAAAAACCTACTGAAGCTTGAGTATAGAATTCTCCATATGGAAGCATAAATTCAACATTAGTTTTTGAAAGTTTTTTTGACAGATGTTTGAGGAAAAKCTTGGCAAAACCCGTATTTCCAAGTCCTGGTTAGCAGCCAGTACCTGAGCTCAGACCAACCTTTAGTGTTAGGGCCATCTAGTGGGAGAGGAGGCACGGACAGAGAGACTGGGACATGTTCTGCATCCAGATTTTTCATCCTATTTGGCTTTGGCACGACCTCCAGATACCTGGACCMATGGAACAATGATCAACAGATCACTGCCACTATTGCAAACAAATGACAACATCTCTCCAAGGGCTACTTTAGAAAAAGKGTGAAGCAGCCCCAGACATTAATACACTTGTTAAGTAAAGTATTAAGGCTGTGCCCATASTGTGGAAACCAAAAAGCCAGCATTTCAGAGAGGATAAAGACAGGGAGCACAAAATACAGCATGATTTTGTGCGTGCAAGCCTCCTCAATTACTGCCTATTCCAGTTTGTTTGTTCATACTAATCCTGTCACCTCCACAGGAAAAACATAGWAGGGTGCAAGGCTTGTACAAGCCTCTTCCCTTTGGTTTAGGTTATTGAATAGAACTGTGGGGTCAACCCTTGGGGTTGGATTTTAGCTAATAAATGATTTCTTGAACCATTGTGAAAGATTACGTGAGTATCGAGTCAGTGCTAACAGGCATGTGGTACAAAAAAAATGGATCCTAGACTCTGGAAAATTAAACCCATTAAGTTTCAGGTGCCAGAATTTGACCGTACTCCAAAAACACTGAAATGAGAATGAAGTAGTTTCCAGTGTCAAGTCCCATACAGCAGGAGAAGGTACCAAGAAGATACTAAGATGCATCCCACTTAACAAAAAAACCCTAAAACAAAGCCCTCTTTGTGCTTCTTAGTCTTTTGAAAGGGCATTAATCCTTTTCCTCCTGCTATTGGACAGTCAGAAAGCAATTAGCCTTGCCCACAGTGGTGAAAGAGGATAAATAATAAGAGGCAAGATAGGTATTCAGACAGACAACTGATTAATGGTCTCTCTCCTGCTACAGTTCAGAGAATCAGTGCAAGGGTACACTTCAAATTATGTCTTCCTGACTCTAGCAGTTTGAATGGTGCCCAGGGTTTAACTAGTTGACATATTTGGTCAAAGAAAAATGCTGTTTGAATGGTGCCCAGGGTTTAACTAGTTGACATATTTGGTCAAAGAAAAATAAATACATTGATGACCCATTTGAAGAAACATCAATGTGAGCCTGTAAGCTCATTATAGAAAAGTGAACAATCTCTAAGTGATGTAATTATCTAAGACTAGTGCTCCAATGTAATTAAGATTGTCTTCCAGTGTTTCTCCTTACTCCCATCATAATCCTATTTGTCTACTTCCTCAGCATGTTGCAGCTTGAAGTTTTCATCAGATTTCCAGGTAAGGAGCATGAAAAGAGCACCTGGTCAAACGCTTCTATAGGTTACTGGAAAWTCACTGTTATTATACATCAGAGAAGCTGTATTTGTAACCAARTTTGCATGTTTTAATATTAAGTACCTAGATCTTAAAGGAATGCTGCCAGTTTGATACACTACCTGATTGGCATTGTGTCCCAACCAACACCTCACATCTCCAAGTTAAGAGGAAGATAAGGACTGCGTGGTTCAAACAAAAAGCCCAAGACCCAGCAGTAAGACTAGATTTCACAGAATGAAGAGGCACTGAAATAAAGCTATTGTTTTTCTTGAAATCAGGGAGAGAACCAACCTCTTATGACAGCACAAGACTTATGACATAGCTGATAAGGTTTTAGCTAAATTAAACTGGGCACCATAAKAAAGTTAGGTAAGTTTGTTTTACTCTGAGGGAGGTGCTTGTACATTTGTTTTCCATGGATCAATTTATTTGAAGCATCACAGTCAAAAAAGATGAACTGGTATAAAAAGCAGGTATAAAACCAGAACACTTATTTACATTTAATTCATAAAATGGTAACTGATAATGCTGACAAAGCATATTTCCACATCCCTTTCTGGTATTTTAGATCTACTGAGAAAACAGAAAATTATTTACTTAACAACATACATATATATTTAACATAACAGCACCATAATCTGCAGGGTTTTTTTTTTTCTTAAAACTTCACAAGCTGCAACTTATAAAAATGGGACCAAGGCATGAGACTGAGCAAGGAAATTGTTTGATTCAACTTTGCATCAATATATCACGATACAGAGAGACTGAGAAAAACCAAAACACATTATGGCTCAGTAAGATAAAAATATTTAAAAACAGGGATCTGCAGAGGATATATCTTAATTCAGCAATCTTAAAGGATGCTTAGATTTCTGAAGAATCTCTTCCGTCATTTCCTCCATTTTGTTCTCCACTGTAGCTGCAGATTTGTTCTCTTTACCTTTTTTGAGACTTCTTTTGTGCTGGGATTTAAAGAAAATACCCAATGTTAAAGAAATACAAAGAAATTAAAAGCTTCTTGCTCATGAGCAATGCAGTACATAGTGTTCTGGGGAAAAAAAACTGACATAGAAACCTTTTTAGGAGTTAATATTTACTAAAGAAATTGCCTGTAGACACACAGAAGCAATCGGCTGCTGATTTTAAAGGACCCACAACAAGAAAACATGCTTTCCCCAGCAAGAAAACTCCCAGACATATATATACCAAGAAGTTTATACTGACACATTGATAGAGCAAAAAGGTCAAAAGCAAGTAAGAAAACCCAAACCCCATGAAGACTCAATATTTCTGCCGGGCCTCTGAGAAAATACTCCACATAATTTCAACTGTTCCATTAACAAGTATGTGTCTAGCAAATTATAACAATTTTTTTCATGCAGGATTATTTGCTGAGGAGTTTTCAACTGTCTGTCTAGCTTGTCAAAGATCTGCATTATTTTATCCACTATTAACTATCAGAATCTGCTGTTACTTTAACTCAAATTTAACAAAGCATTTTCTACAGAATGTAAAGAAGTTGTGAGACTACACAAAAACACAAGAAGTTATTTGAAACTACTTTTACAGTATTGCACTATTACAGAACAATAATTTTTCTTCCCTCAAATACACAGCTGTTTTGCTTATCTGTGGAAGTTACCTGGAAAAAAGGAATGCCACCATTTGTGTGGCAATATATGTTTGTATCCATTAAGTATTTGTCACAAGCAAGACTTTCACTGGATTCTTGCAACTCCCCTTCTCCTTCCAACAGGTCCTAAAACAGAAATTTTTTCAGAAAAATGTATTTAGCATGTCAATTTCCTCAATAAATACATTAAGCATGACCGGATCTATAAAAGACACGAAATTTATCTTTCAAAAATAGAAATGAAATCGAAATCATTAATATTATTGCTTATTTTTCAAGAGAATGTTTTTGTCAAAAGTTTAGCACATTTGAGTCCAAGTACACTGAGTAAAATACAAAGGCTACAGCAGCCCCAGGGTTCCAGTCAACTCTCCACAAGGGCATGAAAAATCTCAAAGATGTGAAATCTTCATTTRAGAACCTCATTTGCCATTTATATACATACCTTATCTGCATCATCCTCCACCTCCTTTATCATGCTGCTTAGCATAGCATCAAGATTGTGTCGCTTTTGCCTTAATTGCTCCAGAAGTTGTTCCCGGGGCTCTGTTCTTATGAGTGTGACTGGATAGACATAGTTTCTTCTCTGTGGAGTTGTCCCTTTAATGGAGATTTTGCACTTTTCAGTGTTTGCCTTAACTTCAGAATCTTAATTTTACACCAACTCAGTAAAGAAATCATGCTTTGTTCAGTTATGATTCTTTGCATACATCTTAAAAAGGAGGTAAGACTGCTATTACATCATGTCCCCATTAACCTTCACTTATGAATTCTGGTACTTAAATTGTTTTCTGTAAGACCATTCTGTCCCCAACCTGCTTGAATACCTGTTGGAACATCCACTTTAAGATCCTCTTGCAGGAAACCATTAACCTGARTTAGTCCATGCTGTACTTCCTCCTTAAGTGCCAGCTTCTGCTCCACAAGTATCTCCTGATCCACCTTCATCTGATCAAGAAGGCCATTTAGTACCTTCCCCTCAGCAGCCTTTTGTCTGCCAATATGGTCAGCAATTTCAGCTATTGCTTTATCACAGTTTTCTTCATTTTTCTGAAAATGAAACAAAAAAACAACCAAACTAAAAACACCACGCTAACAGGAAAGGTAACGTTATGGCCTCATTTCTAAGATGTGGTGCATGATTTGTGACATGACCTGAAACGAAACAACTGAGAGACCTCAAATTGAGAGGTTTCAGTGCCAGTTTTACACTCTCATTTTGAGAACTATCTTCAGGAGAGAGTCAGTTTCTTAGAAAGTATGATCATTTTAGAAGGCTAGTCATAAGAACAAAGATGATGCCATCTGGCTCAGATTAGTCTCCTCATGCCTCTGGCACAAGCCTTGCACAGAACTCGGATATTCAACTGAACATGAGCATCCTACAAGCACTAGAACTTCTATGCATGTGTAGAGGAAAAGAAAAATATGCCATTCCTGTTGAAATGAAATCCCTGAAGTATTCAGCAGATACAACAGATACAGAGGTGTCTTGAGACTACAAAAGCTTATGCAGCCTTAGTTAAGAGTTGGACTCRATCCTTGGAGKTCCCTTCCAACTCAGAATATTCTGTGCAATTTTYGGTGATGAAAGTTTCTAGTTGAGTTTTTCCTTGTGGAAGTTTGCAAAATAGKATTTGCCTAWTTTATGGCCTATTACAACAGTAAAACAAGGGTGGGATGTGAAGTTTGTAATGGAAATGAAAAAAACCCCCAAACCTGAGAGATAAACTCTTATCAGAGGCCACAACTTGTAGATACTGAAAAGAAATGCTTTCTCCCATATGAACTCAATCTGACCAATAAAGTGATTTGCATTCTCTGGAAAATAGCCTGCATTTGATCACTCTGTGTACATCCCAGGGACAGCACTGGTAGATAAAGCTTTAGAGATAATCACTACCAAGATGATATAAAACGCCCAGAATACAAATGCAAGTTAGCTGTATGGCATTAATCACGACACCATTTTTTGAGGTTATTTGCACTCGAAGTTCGAAGTTTTCCTCTTAATTTAGGCTTTTGATTTCCTCTAATTACATATATTTAAGCTCCGCAACATGAGTCTGCTATCAAAAACCCCACAGTTTTGTTTTGATTATAACCAAAAACTTTTTTGCCCCCTCTACAAATTCTGCAGTAAAGTTTGTCCCASGATGTTGCATTAGACTACAAATGATTATAGGTACCTTTTGTAAACACTGAAATTGCTGTTTCTCATCCTTGAATGACAATAGCTGCTGATTAGTAAAGTTGACCATCTGAGCAGTTGTAAATTCACCCCATGTATTGGTATCCTGAGACACATTTTTGAGATTGCTGAGAAGATGTTGACAGCGGTCATTGGATTCTTCCAGCATTGTCTCGTTTTCAACATTTATGCTCCTGAGCTCTTGAGAGAAATTATCCAGCGATGCAGTAAATTTGCTGTGATTGGAATTTGTACTGCTGACCAGGTCTGTAGTTTTCCTGCAAAAACGTATTTGTAAAAGTTCAGAGATTTTGAAAGGTAGATTTTAACACAATATACTTTCTGAAATATGAGACAAGAACCAGTGAAATAGCACAATCCTATCAAACCAGTCAAATGTAATATTGTTCTTCTGTTTAGTAAATCTGCAGCACTTGTAGCAGTTWGGTTTGTTAAAAAAAGAAGCAAAACCTCCACCAACCAAAAGAGAACCAAAAGACCCTAACCACAAATGAAAARCAACTTAAGCATGACCTTACTTATTCAGTCTTCAGTTGAATGAAGMATGTTGCAATAGATACCTTATTATGCTTCAAGCTAAACCTTTATAATAGAGTCCTGAAGTCCAGACACAGAGGGATACTCCTCAGCATATTGCTCCCAAAATGATTCTTGCTTATGGCAACACRCTCAGGAGACAAGTTCAAGGGAAAGCCTTTTWGAACTASTGTTTACTCTGGGGAAAGCCAAACKGTGAGGCAGAACTCAGCTCTGACATGCAGGGCATGTCCAGCAGGCTTTATAAGCACACAAATATGAAGAGCATCCAATTTTGAAGTTCTYTTCATATACAGATTTTCTTGCATTAGTGTACAGCAAAAATAATCCGCTCCTTACAGGTGAACATTTTCTTGCATAGCAGTGATGGTGGTCTTCAGGCTTCCATTTTTTGTGAGTACATCACTTAAGTTCTTCTGAGTCTCCTGAGCAAACAGGTCGAGYTGGCTTTGCAGTGAAGACATCAGTTTGTCTGCGCTCTATTAAGAAGAATACCACAAGTTTCACTGTTATTCTRCATTTTGTAACTATCTTAAGGGACTTGAACACCTGAACTAAAAATGCAGAAAATGAAGGGTTTTGAAATTCTAAAGCAGAAGGTACAATTGTTGTGTAGTGAAGAYACAGACACTTTGCTTTTGGAGACATATGTAAATGCACATGTACTGGACATGATCACAGCAAAGGGAAGGGTTTTTTTGTTACATTTCTACATAAACTACCTAAAGCAGCCTAACAAAAGCTAAATAGAATTAGGATCCAGTTACTGTCCTCCTAACACTTTTTCTGAAGCAAGTATAATGGACACATAAGAGTTTAAATCAAAGCAAACAATCACACTTGGTGTTAGCTTGTCTTCTTAGTCTGAGGATACCTTTCTATGTGCCGACCTCATCACTTCCACTTCTTCCTTTAAACTGTCACAATTATGTTGGAGCTGAGCAAAACCACTRGCCGTTTCTTCCTGTATTTTTTTCAGAGTGAGAAAAAGATCTCCAAAGAAGGTATCCATTTCCTTTTTATGGCACTCCATCTTCAAAACAAAAAGATTTACATTTAGATACTTATATCTTTATTTAAGAAACTGATGTTTTTCCCTAGCATAATTGATAYAGAAACAACTCTACCCCAAAAAAATGTCAAAGGCAGTAATGGAATATCTGCTGTCTAAGTCTGAAAACCAATAAAAAGCATCTTGACAAGGGGAGTTGATTTCACATGAACTGTAATTGATAGGAGGGGAAAATGTTTCAGCAAGAGAAAGATGTCACCAGAAACAAACACTTGGTTATGACAAAATAGGAAAAAAATTAAAGAGTAAGGCTGAAGTTCTACAYAAGCATCACGAGACAGACTAGATTTATAAACTGAAGCAAAGGACTTCAATCAAAGTGCAGCATTTCTTGGACTTATGGTTGYTAACAAGATAAAACATCATATTCCCCAGGAATCAAAGGGACTATAGAAATACTATAGTATGACAACAGAAAATATTTGGAGTGGTAAGATTTGTCTAAGTTTTGTTTGGTTTTGGTATTTTTTTTAGCTTTATAAAATACAGGTGAGAATATATTAAATGTATTATCAAATATTTGCTACATACAGATTTAAGCATCCACGTTTTACCATTCTATGGTGGTGCTTAGGCAAGTAGTTGTGCCAATATAGATAACAAGCAAATTTACCACACTCAGGAGAGGAAAAAAGCCTGAAAGTTAGTTAAACGGTAGGACTTATGGGACAAGATAAAGGGAAAAAGGCCAGACAAGAAGTGGAAACACTCTGACATACTGCAGAAAAACAAAGAACATGTTTTCTGTAAATTAAATAAAATAGAAGACCAGAAAGAAAAGAGGGTGCATTACCTGGTCAGCCACAGCAGAATATTTCTTCATATTACTCTGAAACTGACAGTTTAATCCCAAGACAAATTCCACCACTGGTGTCAAGCTATKTACTGCTCTTCCTAATCCAGTTTCATGTTCCTCCTAGGAAGAGAACAAAAAAAAGTAAACCAGAATAGGGCTGCTCCTTCATCTACATTTGTAAGAAGCTATTATGTACACATACATGTGCTCTGTTCTGACAATATATGTGATAYAGTATATTACAGATTGTGGGGGTGATACATGAGGGGAAGTGGGGAGGGACACAATCATGGCCAGGTGCTGAAGCAGATACAGGAAAAGAACATCAGAAAAAAAAAATCTATGTAGTTACAGAACCCCTTTTGATCAAAACCAGTTTCAAATATTTAAGTAAAAGTATGTAAATGTACTAACAATTAATCTCAGCAGCTCAGCTTTACAATCAAGTGACAGATTCTCATGCCGTGTTATTTTTTCAGATAYGTGAGAAACTTCAGTAGACACCAGTTCTTTAAGAGAGGCAAAAGATGTTGATACAACTGATGCAAGAATATCTGCTGTAGAAGAACTGGTAGACAAGAGGTCACCTGCAAAAGAAATGAAGAATTACAAATTTTTTTAAAGTTCCCCTGTAAGATAAGAAGTCTTTTAATGCTCATCATCTTACTGCATCCTTACAGCACAGGAAGGCTGTGGATCATCCCAGATACATTATTACTGATGCAACTGTAATCATCACATTGCTTAAATAAAACYCCTTCCTCTTTCCTAAAACAGATACATTTTAGGAAGCAGTGTTTTGAGATTACTATTGCAAAAATTCAGGGTGACTCCTGATACAGGTATTACTTACCTATAAAATTTGTGTAAGATGTCAACATCTGTTGCTGCTTCAAACTGTTTTCAGTAATTGAATCTTGTATTTTGCTGAACAAAGCATTCATTTGTCCTGCAAATGTATTCTGGACAACAGCATTGTGCTGATCAACAGCCTTCTTACGGTCCAGTTTCGCATGGAGCCCAGATACATCTCTTGTAGTTTCTTCAACTGTACTAAGCAACTATAATTTTTGGAGTTATTTTAGTAAGTCTTAAAACAAGAAGGCAAGCATATACTACATAAGGAAAAGCAACAATAGTTCTGAGTTAAAGAAGCTAACTGTCTAGGAAGACAGGTATTTCCTTTTATTTCATCAAATTACAACTGCTCTGGACCCTGGCATTATGTAATTTATATTTTTAAAACATGGAAAAAAGTTACCTACTAAAGACCATTCGTTCTAGTTCTAAAACCAAAGAATTAATAAATTACATCCTCAATAYTTAAGGAATTAAGGTATCATTTATACCAGAATAGTAACTGAAAAATACCTGAGCACTTCAACTCATTCTGAACATCTGAGAGTAAATATATTCTTTAATACAGTACTCAAAGAGGTTTCCAGTACGAGTCCCATGATTATTATTTTTAAATTCATACAAATAGTGGAATCCTGGTTTTGTAGCGACCATAAATAATTTCTGGATCTATTTGCCTCACACAGACACTCCACAACCCACATGTAAAAACAAGGCATTCCCTCCCAGTTTTGCAGGAATCCAAACTGCAAAGCCAGTTGGATTCAGCCACGGTGCCTGAAGATACAAGTTTAATTACTTTGCAGTTCCAATAGCACAACATTCTCTTTCCTGSCTCGTCTGTTTTGATAATTATTACCAATCTACAAACATATCAAAGCCATACTCTAAAACACAGAGGTGCCAGGGTAATATTATTCAAAGCTTTTTACTATTTTTCTACCCCGGCTCATAGAATGGTTTGGTTTGGAAGGGACATTAAAAACCATCTAGTTCCTGTTCCAAGGCCTCCTGCCATGGACAGGGTGGGACATGCTCCACTAGAGCAAGTTATTCAGTTATGTATAACTTACTGCTTTTCAAGACCAGTCATAGGATTTTGAAAGAAAACTACTTATTCTGRCAACTCRTGATAATAGATACTGCAAAGCACTGGAACTCCTGTGACAAACTGGACTGAGGGAAAGTTCGTTCCAGACCAGCCAGAGTGTTCAGCAGTTAACTGTCAATATTACCACAGAGGAAGTCCTGCAATCTAATCCTAGGTTTCCATCTTAAATTCAGGTCTCATTACACTCTCATCATGCTTTTGCAACAATCGGTTTCCTTGAATAGCCCAAGAAACTCCTAAACATAGGAASCTGTTTTACAGTAGGTACAAGAACTGGGACAACCTTGCTAGCTGTGCCATGAAGTTTTTGTTCAGTGTTTTCCAACACTGAAACCACATATTCTTCTTCAGCCAGCTGAACCTTGGTTTCTTGCAGATCTTTTTGTGTTTCTTCTAGCTCTTTCTCCTTGATTTGCAGGTCTGTTTTACACTGTTCAAGTTCATTTTTACTGACTTTGAATAGTTCAGTGACCTAAACAGGAAGACAATAATCAGAAAGGCAACACCACTTTCTATAAACTTGACAGTCTCATTTCAACACTCTCAAATTATGCCAGAAGGCAAATTATCAGCTAGCAATGTAATTTCAGCTGCAGGACTCAGGTCTTAAACTACAAGTTTGTATAGTCTCTGCAATCACTGAAAATATCAAGCCAACACCATTCTCACTGTAATAACCCCTTGCTTCCCCACTCAAAATACAAGAGCAAACTAGTGTTACAGCACAAGGAAAAGAATCCCACAGAACAAACATAACTAGATAGACTAAAGAGTCAGTAAAGCTGATTATATAAAGGAGTTACATATACCAGCAAATTAACATCTACATTTCTCTTAAACAAGGAGCTCCAAYTTTCATGTAATTTGTTAATAGGAGCTCATGACATCTCTCCCCTCATTCTTTGCTCCTAAGTAGATACCTGTCAGATGATAGCATATTACAAGTAGAYTTTCTGCTGAAAAATCAGCAAAGCAAATTATGGTAGTAGACATGAAAACAGCTTTAAAAATAAATACTGCAACCTCTAATTTCATACATGTTGTTTCAAATTCCTAACTTCAAGGATTAGGAAACTTCCATGCTTGACTAATTGGGGAACTTTAAGATCAACAACACAAAAAAACAACGAAAAGAATCTTCTGACTGTTCTTTCCTCAAACTTCTTTCCTCCTTTTGAAAGGAGAATGAAATATTTCGATTTTTTGGCAGATTTAAGCCACAGTTAAAAAACACCACTTACTCGTTTCACTTCTTCCTCCATGACACTGATTTTGTCAATATACTCAGTAATTTGTTCTTCCTGAATTGTCAGCTTTCCATTAAGGGCTCTCAAGCAAGGATTAAAATAAACAAATTAGTCCAGTAAGAGGCAATTTCAAGATTTTACACTACATTTTCAGTAATTTCAAAAAGTATTGCTAATTTCTATATGAATAGAAGGCAATTTTCACTTAAGACAGAAAATATTTAAGACTTTAAGATTATAAATTTCCATTGTAAACTTTCTCTGCAAACTAGCCCTATTAAAAGTGAAGCATATCAAGTTTGCTTTCCTGTATGTGCTTCCACTGAAAAAAAGGCTGTGTGATGTAAATCTGCTTGCTGGGTAATGCTTATGGTAAGTTTCACACATTATACTTAAATTCCTCAGAGCAAGCCTATTAGATTTTACCTGTGAAGTAATTAATTTCAAAAGAACAAGATGACCAAACAATTAAGTTTTCCTAACCATCTTCAACTCTCTGGATTGAAAATAGATTTGAAAGTATTGCTGTTCAAGGATAGGTACCAGTATCTGAGATTTGTTGCTAGTGATTTTATAGAAATTTTGCAGACATACTCATAGTTTTCAAGGGAAATATAGACTCCATTTTTTTCTCGTGCAGCAGCAAGGTCTCGCTTCAGACGCTCAATCTCTTCAGTGTATTCCTGCATAAAGAAACAATCACTTGTAAACCTGAGAATTTCCTTTCTGGTTTCAATATTCAGCTTAAAAAATACTTCACAAACGTAGTGCTCTACAGAAGTTTTGCATAAACACAAGAGCAAAGCACTTCATTTCTAAGTTCAGTATAGTACCATCTAAATTCATACCACTGGATATATATTGGCTGTTTGTAGAGCATTGAAACCTTCCATTTTAAGGTCACACTTGGTTGCATTTAGCAGCTTACAATGGGAATCAGTTTCCTTAGGGGCAGAGCTACTTTACATTGGCTCTTCACTTGTACTTACTGACAAGTTCACTTTAATTTAGGCCCCTTCTATGGAATGAACCTGCTAATACAGCAACTCCAGAAAAAAAAATCCAGTGTCATCTAATGGCTCTCCAATAACTTGCAAACGTGTAATACCCACAGTCACAGCTAGTAGCAATGGCCCTCTGTTCAACTTGGCTTATCAACAGTTCCAATATCTGCAGGGACTAATGCTGTACCAGCAGAGCAGCTCTAGTTTAAAAGCACCAGTTCGGTAATTAAAATAACTTCAGAAAAGCATTGCTACTAGTTATAGCTCCTCCCATACTTACAACTCCTGCCCAAAGACCACCTCAACAAAAAAAAAAAAAAATTCAAACTTAACCTGTAACTTTATTTTTTAAGATATATGTCTAGTTACCTTAATAAGAGCTTTTTTCGTTAGCTTCTGATTAACTTCAGGCTTGTTCATTATGTTCTTTGCTCTATGGGCATATTCCAGTGTACTTAATGTTTCCTGGGAAAAACAGATGTTACAGATGTAATACTACGTCAAGCTGAGGAATTAATTAATATTTTTCTATCATTAGCAAAATATATTATTTATGTTAGGAATAGGTTTTCAGACTTKAAATTTACCTCAAGATTTACAGATGCAGGTGAAATTGTGGCAATTATTGATGTTTTCGTCCGTCCTCCAAGCGAGTCTTGAAGGATTCTTGTGAGTTTAGATTCCCTGTATGGAATATGAGGGGCTCTTTCCACTAGAGCAGTAATAACTCTTCCTAGTGTCAGTAGAGACTGGTTGATATTTCCAGCTTCACGAGCTCTTTTGTCAACTGCCCCAGATCGACCAATGTTTTCACTTCCTGCAAGATCAACCTGAAAGGCAGATTATGCTTCTGTCTCAGATCACCTTGAAGAATGCTTCCCCCAAAATCTTGCAGAACACATAAAAGTGCTTACAAGTTTATGAAAACAATAATTTTTCCCCTTATCAGAAAAAAAGCTCTAATAAATTCTAGTTCATGACTAAGAAGACTATCAATGACACTTCAATCAAATACTTACCAAGTTAAGCTTCCCAATTTTAACAAGTTCTTCTCCATCTATCGTTGTTTCTTTCATATGGATGGTAATTGAAAACACAGAGTGGGAACGGCTGCAAAAGAAACCAGTTTCAGATGTTCCATTAAAGCCAAATATCTACTTGTTATAAGACTGTTCAAGTTCTCCACTCTTTATAGGAAATACATTTAGCCTATGAACTCCAAATTACATTTCCAATACGCAAAGTTATTCTGCCAAGTATAATTTTGTGTGTATACATATGAATATGGTATTTAAAACCATATTTTAAATCCAAGCGAACTGGATGTCATTTGACTCACTCAGTCCTGATAAATGTTAACTTATTTYAAGGAAAATCAAGTTACATGCCTTGGTTTTGCTTACATTTGTGTATTCTCAACACACAAGCATCTAATCAAAACTGACTTGTAGATTTTTTTTTTAGTCATTATGCTAAGAACAATTTCACAGAATGTGAGATTAGGGAACATAAATTTCTTTATTCAGGCTAAGAAAATTGAGCAACTAGCTGAATCCAATATTAAAAACTTAGAAGCTCAATTAATTTTTCAATCAAAAATATTATTAYAGTTTAATATTATAGAATCATTGAATGGTTTCATCCAGCTCCAATCCCCCTACCATGAGCAAGGATACCTTCTTCTAGACTGGGCTGCTCAAAGCCCCATCCAGMCTGGCCTTGGACACTTCTAGTGATGGGGCAGTTCTCTGTGCAACATGTTCCAGTGCCTCCACTGTTTTCTACGGTTACCATTCTCATGGTAAAGATGGTTTTAGGTTGAGATTATTCCTTTAGTAARTTTTTACTATAGGAAGGTGACATATATAGAAAGCCATAGATATCAAATTARACCAGTTTGGCCACACATTAAAAAACAACTTGGGCAGAATGAATTCTCTAAATTCCCTGAATCTCTGACAAAACAAATTCTGTGTTCTAACCAGTGGTAGAAAATAYCCATTGCCTTCCCCCAGCAGATATACATGCTCAGTGTACCTTTAAATTAAAATACAATACAAACAGGGTACATTCCGTACTATTGCAACACTGGGTCACTACTTGCTCACAGTGACAGAGATCACATCTGCAGCTCAAGAATGTGAAGGCAGTAATAAAAACAATGCTATTTTTGACCCAGGGGCCTCTGTTACTTTCTATGACCTGCAATCATATGRAGCAGCTCTTATTGCTATACTACCTTATGCCCAACTTCCATAACCTAGTTGGCAAATTTTGCAGAAGCCAGATTTTGAAATGAGGGTCTTGTGTTGATCTGTAAAAAGCAGATCTTAGCAGTATTTTGAAATTCCAACTTCAGTAACAAATCCTAAAGTATCATTTTCTACTGGTGGTGAGAAAGGATACTCAAGACTCTTACACCAAGTTTATTTAGTAAATAGGATTATCCTAAACACCCAACCACCTAGAACAGCTAGAATAAAGACAACGCACCACTCTGATATAGGTATATCAACCAAAAATCTTTCAAAATTGAAAGGAACCTTCTTTTTGAAAATATCTATTGCAAGTACATCTTATGCTAGTACACACAATCTATTTCACTTATGTCTTCTGTTTTCACAAGCATAGAAAGCTTTGAAAATATTCGTAACTTTGAATTATAYTTAAACTTCAGTATTCTAGAAGTCTAATTAAGAGCATTACAATGCTTTTATCTCAGCCAGATTTAGGTGGAATCCCAGGGCTACTGTCCCAAATAGACACTGCATATTTACAAAGGATACATTAATTACAAAGTATGAAAACTCTTAACAAGAGGGGAAGCTTATTTTAAAAACCACATGGGGAGAAACAGCTTGCTCATTTTTAACTTGAGAAGCATTCAGATTTTATAATGCTCTTTGTACTGATTTTAGTTGAGGTGGAGTTAGTTTTCTTCAGAGTGGCTGGTATGGGGGTGTTTTTTAAACTGCATGCAAGATTGATAATACAGAGATGTTGTTGTCATTGCTGAGCAGGGCTTTTCATGCTGCAACACTGGTGAGGAGGCCCGGAGTGCATAGCAGATTGGGAGGAGACACAGCCAGGACAGGTGACCCMAACTGACCAAAGGGATATTCCACACCATGAATGTACATATGAYCAGTACATAAAGTGGTGGGAGAGGGGTGGGGTGGGGACATATTTGGGGTGATGGCATTTATCTTGCAAGTCAGCATTACCCGTGATGGGGCCCTGCTGTCCTGGACATGGCTGAACACSRGCCTGCCTATGCGAAACAGTCAATTAATTTCATGCTTTGCTTGCGTGTGCAGCTTTTGCTGTCCTTATTAAACACTCTTGAACTCAACCCATGAGTTTCCCAGCTTTTACCCTTCCAATTCTCTCCCCCATCCTGCAGGTCAGGGACTGAGTGGTCGCGTGAGTTTGGCTCCGGGCTGGGGTTAAACGCCATCTCTTCACAGCCTATTGCAATCATCTCACAGCACATGATAAGGAAGAAACTAACTCTGCCTTCTAACCCACATCTGATAGTCTGCGCTGCGACAGACAATCACAAGATGATGTCATGTTTGCACTAGCTTTTTACTTCTTTGGTAAGGCTCTGTTYTTATAAAGAATAAAACAAAGTTTCTGAAATGGGGAAGATTTGTACCTGGAATATGCGTTCATGTAAGTAGCTGCAGTTGTTCTTTTGGCTGCACCCCTTTCCAGGATTTGGTAAACTTCATTTTTGTTGTGCACAGTTACTTCTTCCAAGCCTTTAATAATTACACCCCTCTGTCAGAAAGTAATACATGCTTATTATAAGTCTCTCAACAATCCTGAAAGCCTCAAGATAACAAATTTTGTAGCACYAACCTTGTTGCGAGGATCATCAAACATCTGCAGTCTTTCTCCAACATCAGGAGTAGGATTCAGAAGATCAAAAAGCTCCTCATTATAGATTTCCAGAAGAGAGACTTTCACTGAAAATTCAGTACCATTCTCTGTGAGTTTTTCAAATATTTGATGCAATGTACGAGGTATGATACCTGCTAGAGGGTCCTATAAATGAAAAAGAAATATTTAATTTGTAAATATACTGAAAGAGATTTGGAGTTAAAGCTAGTTTGCATTAAACAGTCTGACTGCATATAAACAASAATGAAGATGACCTTGCATATAAAAGTCACCAAGAGTTGAATGCAACACATTAAAGATGTAAATTAGTGCTTTTCATATAAATGAATGAGACCATTTGTTAATATACAAACATTTAAGGAAAGTCTGCTTCAGAATTTGAAAGCCATCCACTTTTGGTTTTCTTTAGCCTTCTAAAGTTTCTAACTTTGAACTACAGTACAGAAACAGAAATCTCAGGAGCAAAAATATACCTCTTCCCAAGTATATTCTTCATTGGGTGACCGCTCTCCTTCCATTGTGAAGGTCTTACCAGTACCCGTTTGGCCATAACTATGAGAATAAAAATAAAAACGTAAATAAGAAACTAAAATACAAGTAAAATTTCCTAAACCTAATTATTGGCTTACTTACGCAAACACTGTACAGTTGTAGCCCATAATAACTTCATCCAAAATGGGACACACAACACTCCGGTACACATCAATCTGCTTTGCCTGAGCTCCAAAAACCTATTGACACCAAGACAACACAACCCATTTATCCATACAATAATGTAGACCAGCACACTATGTACTAGCTTGTTTCTACAATCCCCATAACTGACCAGCAGTTACCAACCATATCAAATGTGTAAGTCTTTCTTGATGTCTTATCTGTCACTCCTCCAGTGCGGACACTGACTTCCTTTCTTGCTTGATCACAGTCTACRACAGCATAGGAGCTCACTTTAAGTTCGGAGGCATTAAATGGCCTAAAAAGACAGGAGTCAGGAATACTGGATTTAATTCATTGCTAACAACACAATATAATAAGAACAAGCAGTAATATCACTCATTTTAAGGATCCAGAATAGCATAATTGGGCATAACGAACAAAGTTTTAAACTTAATCTGTTTAATAATTGTTCAAGAAAAGATGCCACAATTTGGCAGTTTACAGACCCTGTTTCTCCTTTTATCCACTGTGAGACAACTCAGGTATCTATAGCTTTTTGCTTGTTACATACACATCTTTAATAAGCTAACAGGCATTAGAATATATTCAATTGAAGGGGTAGAAGATTAAACACACCAAACAGTTGGAGCCTTCAAAAAAAAAAGGAAAACACACATGCACGTAATGCTATAGTGAATCAAACGCTGATGATATAACACTCTAAAGCACCAGAAATACCAACGGACCCTACTAATTGCAGGACAGTAAACAGCAATACCAGAACATTTAAAAAGATGATGCAGTCAAATAGTATTTAGTAAGACAGACAAAACATCAGATTGGGGGGGAAGGTCCACATTAATTAAAAGTAAATCATAACAAAAAGGTTTAATAGAGGCACAATAAAAGTTTTAAACTTTAGGGTAAGCATTTTGTTTCATCACTAAGTTAATTTAAGCTTTCAAGCTTGGTGCATACCATTTTCTTTAAAGGGACATTAGCCACAATTTCTCCTGAAAAGTATGGAAATTACCTAAAAAGCATGGAATCCTATTTTATTCATCTATTAGTCCTACTGCACTGAATGTCTACACTACCTGTACTCTTGACCTGAGCAGTCAACTTGAAAATATAACTTCTATAACTTTCAGTCTTTAAAGTATCTTGACACTAGAGACACTTTAGATGCTCGCTAAATTATAATGCTAAAGAAAAAAAAACCAAAAAAACAAAACACAAAAAACCCACAAGCATATGGTTTCCTGAGTTTCCTGAACATTGCGGCTAACATTTCTTCCTCAACACAGCACTGAAGCTGAAGTGTCAGATGCTAAACAGACCACGAGACATGTGGGTGCAAGATCCACTGATGACAACAGAAGATCACAAAAATCTTGCTCACAGGAGCAAGTACCAGCTTCAGTTTCRTAACTTTTAAAGTAACAGAAGGCTGAACAAGGAACACATTCTGCTGCATAACTATGTAACACTGAACCAGTCCATCASAGGAAGTGCAATAGCCCACAGCTGTGATATTAGGGGAACAATTTTGCTGGACTGAAGCAGGAGTACAGTTCATCACCATCACCACTACACAAGCAGCTGCCTGGTATGCCATAGTGACATTTGATCTCAGGTTCATGCCCTTAGGTATGAAGCACATTATGTATATTAACACAATGCTAGCGCATGCATTTTGAGTTTCCAAATTCGTGCTTTACCAAAGCCCAGCAAATGCGTTGCTTGAAGAGATTTTTGGTTTGCTCAGACTGATCGGGTTTCAGAAACAAATCAGGACACCAAAGAACACAATTGCATCTACCTACAGATCTGCAAGATAAGGACAAACTGACTCAATGCAGAAGAAAACAGCAAAGTGGAAGAAACATTAACTAGTTTAAACTGAAGCTATCAAAAAAAGCTCCACAAAGGGCAGGAGGCAAGGGTGGGCAAGAAAGTTTTTAMCAGTTAGAAAACAACTCTTGACACAGCAATTAGCCTTCGAGTCGCAACAAAAGCAGCACACTACATGGACAGTCCTTATGCGACTGTCATAGTAAGCCCTATAGTCTTAATACTAATGCTTAATTAAGCTATTCCAGAACAATTAAGACTGAGGACTGTTAGTCCTGACAGTATTTCAAACCCAATTGCTTTAACAAACTTAGTCTTTTGCAATAGCCTCGATTCACATCAACACTTTCACCAATCCCACAACATTTGTTTCAGAAGCTTTACAGTTGCATTGCAAAGATAAGGGTAAATWTATTTTAACTTCTATATTCATCGTGCCTCTGTAAAACAGAGCTCATAGGTTTGAGAATATGACAACAAAAGGCATTAACACATAACATGTAAGCTAATTCTTGCAGATCTGGCTCAAAAAAACCCAGCTTCTAAAGGTGTTTGAGACACTATACTTCAAGTATTACCAGCATTACAGTTTTAGTATGCATGTTTTAAGATCATTTAAGATTTAGTAGTATCAGTCAGCAATGCTTTAAAGTCACCTCAGAATTCACTTACAGAGAGAACCTAATTTTAGTGTACACGAAATTGATCACTGCATACCAAAAAAAAAAAACCAAAAAATTCATCTCATCAACCAAGACATTTGGTCATTATTACTTCAGCAGCAGTAGAGCCCCATCCCATTGCTTGTCCACTGGAAAGTCTGCATCAATGAAGTTATGCGACAGATATACCACAGCGGGCGTAGCAACAATTTTAGCTGTTACAGCTCAGCGACTTGTCACAGGAGCTCACAAAGGGCAAAATTCTGCCTGGGTTTTTGTGTGTCTCGAATATTAGTCATGCTTATTTTACCTAGCTCTTCTTGAGCTTCCTACGCAGCTTTATACTGGGTGTGAACGGAATCGAGTTCGGAAACACGGGCTTTTCTGCCTTTTTAAGCTATAACAAGTGGCCCACAGCAGCCTYCCTTGTGCGGAAGCGCCGCTTGGCCGCGGGGCAGGGGCGCCGCTTCCCCCGCCCAACCATCGCCCGGGACAGGCGGCTCCCAGCGAGGTGCCGAGGCCGACAAGGGCTACGGGCGGACCCTCCACAGCGATCGCTCCGGGCAGACACAGCGATACCCCGGGGCAAGTATCCGCAGCGACCCACATCTGCACAACTGCTGTCACAAGCGGCAGCCTCGGCCCCCCGCACACACGGCTAGTCGGGGGCATAGCGCAGACAACGCCTGGGCCCGAGTCACGGAGGCACCGACGCGGGACTCCCCGGGGCTTCCCCGCGGACCGGACCTCAACGCTGCCCAAAAAAAGGGCGGCCGCGCGTACCTGCACCGCACCACCACCTGGATGTTCTTGCCCTTCTCGTCCTTCTTGGTGCCGCCGCCTTGGGAGCCGAAGGAAGCCATGGCGGGGCAGGAACGGAGCGGGGGCCGAGACACYGCCACGGTGCCGGAGCTCGGAGCGRCCGCGCGCGCCGCCGCCGCCACCGCCGCTTTGAACCGCGCGCAGCCCGGCCCGGCCAATCAGCGGCGAGCCCGGTGCATCACGGGACGGGATTTCAAATCCTGGGGGTGGCGCGCGGTGGGAATGCTGGTSCTGCTCCGCCCTGAGCGTCCGGGCCCTCTGCCGGCACCTTGAGGAGARTTACACCGGGSAGGACTCCCCGAGCCCCTGTGCTGTCCATCCCCCTGCACCGTGACGCTCTACCCAAGAGTCCCACCTGTGCCTGCCGTACGGCTGTGTCTGTGCCGCCAGTACCGCGAAAAGCCAGCAAGACAATGTTCGCCTCCTCCACAGCCACCGCTGACACCCGGGTCTGAGGGCAGCCGAACCCCTCGCCTGCTATCAGTCTTCAACAGTCACGTTATCTATGTAATCTCTCACAGGTCAAGCCCTCCGGCCATCCGTTCTTCTGTCTCCCGCTAGCTCTCCAGGTGGCCCACGATTTCTTTTAAACATCACGACAAATAAGCACACCTGGCCAATGCCTTGTGGAATGGAAACATTACTTGGCCTGYTAAAAAAAAATAACCGATCAGGTTTCTATTTACACAGTGGGGCACAGCAGTCACCATTCCCAGGCGGGCACCTGCTGTCCCCTCAGCCGGTGGTGCCCTGGCGGGGGTTGCAATGCAGATCCGACGCCCCAGCTGAGCCCTTCTGGCCATGCCTGCAGAGCTCTGCTCCCATCGCTCTGTGCCTTCTGCRCGCTTTAACTCTGGGGGGTCTCCAGCACAACTCATCAATGTCACAATGCATTCTATGCCCAGATTTCCACGTGTTTACAGGTTGGTATTGCCTTATCGAGTAGAGGGAAAATCTTATGTAAGAATGAAAATAAGTAGTTAAAGGCTCAGAACAAAGCATCATGAGTGCACCACACCTATTCTTTTACTTTGAAACTGTATCATGTGAACCACTTTTCCATTTATGTCACTCTGGCTTCCCTGTGAGAGCTTCCTCTGAGGCACTATTAAAAGCTTTGCTAGGTGGAGATCTATGACAGGATAAGAGGTCTTCTGGGTAGAAGGGAAAAAGCAGATGTTAGAGGAGATTCAACTGATCTGATGTGCTTTTTCTGTTGAATCTGAGACTACCATGTTGTCATGTACCTGTTATGGCCTACAGTGCWACAGTGTTTTKCTGTTGTTCTAGGCCTTCGCAATTTCTGAAATTTAGATTGCCCATCTATAATTTYGCAGGTGTCCACACCCTTTTCTTTCCCTATAGTTAGCTGCTTTGAATCTTAYWATACTTCTCTCCTCYGTGAGTTCTTAAAGTTAGTAACAAATGAATCCTAACCCAAAAGGCTTGCAGTAATTTTTCTGACAGTGCCATAAACCAACAACACACTGTATTCCTCTACCATTTATCTGAAGAGTTAGAACAACGTCAGAGCCAATCAGTCTTACATGRGGCATGAAGAACACTAAAAAKCACAACAATACATTTTGCTTCAGCTAAGTAAAGATTTAAACAASCAGGAAAATAAMTATAATCCATGGAAAACATATTKAGATCACCTTTATTTTTATTTGCTTTTCTGTATTATCTATGCTAAGAGGAAAAATMATTTTTACCAACAACTGTGTAGTACCTASTGCTAGATGGAAAAGTCAAATGCARTGCAAGTAATCTAAATATTTACCTTTTGATCTATAGTCCTTCATGGGGATCATACAAAAGAAGACAGCACTGGAACACAAGAAGTATTTTCTTCCAATTTCTGCTTGTTTTTTTTTTTTTTCTAATATGAAAGCAGTATTTTTCCTCAAAATACAACATCTACCGCAGACACAGAAGAGATTATTCAAACCTGCATTTTAACAACAAGAATGTATTTGATTACTGAAAGTTAAACTTGGCCGATAGCTACCTTTGCTATAGTTGTGGTAAGTGGAAAATACATATTTCTGGTATCAAATTAGCTTAAAAAAGCTTATAGTTTAATGTCTGCAAGTCTGTTTTACAAAGTTTATAGCCTAGGTTGTACATTTTCTTACACTAGTACACTATACACAGAAACTGAGTAACAGGGAGCTAGCAATCCACAAGCAATATAAATAAGTATGAGAAAAAGRAAAAAAGAATATTTAGGCCACAGTCTCAACAGTGRTTGGGAGAATGGCCTTTAAGAAGACAGGTACATCATATGTGACAAATGTTTTATTTGTTTTAAAGAGAGATAAAAACATTACAGAAAACTAAATTATACAATAATACGCACAACAGCAAATGTAACAGCTTCACTAGAGGTTATTAATCCCCATATATGGATCAAAAAGGACAATTTTTAACTAAGGCTTGCCAACAAAAAGTCKTTGAATTATAGTGGTATTCACAGGCAAAACAAACACTGTCTTCCTAGGGCCAGTATCAGATCACCTGGAGAATTATAGGTATGGAGGCCTGAAAAATAGCAAAATTGTTGACACAGAACGTTATTRCCTAAGAATGAAGAAAGGTTATATAAGGTATAATAATGGAGAGATATAATTAATACAAATTATAAGATTGAGTGAGACTTCTTCAAGGCTTAGTAACACCCGATTTGATTGCCAGCATGCTACACAATGTACCAATTGTATGGAACACGTGGAGAGCTTAATACTGTTTAATACTATCAGTGACATACAAAAAAATTGCTGCTTGATTGCGTATTCACATTAAAGGGGAAATTACCTGCACCTCAGATAAACAAAAAGCAATTTCTAGCCTGTGAACACCCTGACCAGTTAGCAAGTAATATTCTACACTCTATGCTGTCTACACACGACAAGTTAAACAACAAGGACTTATACATACAGTACTGGTATATTCTCAGCTGAGGACAGTTTTCCTTCACTCAAGGTATAAGGATAATTATGTCACTGTTAAAAAGATACAATGCAGTAAAACAGCTACCATATTGTTAAAAATTAAGGACTCAATGCATGTAACATGATTAAAACCAGAACTGGTTTCAACTAACCAGGGAAAATACACAGAATAAAAGAGTACTTTTTTTTAGCCATGCGTACCAGATCACTGTCCGACATAGACACAGATGGTACCACTTTTACATCTTTTTATAGTCACTGTAATAAAAAATTAACAGTAACATACGGGGATATATGCATTTGTGTGATCAGCTCAGAGTTAAGCTAGTAATTTTCCATACAGTTACCTATTTTCAGTTAAGTCATGCAGCTGGATGACATTCTTTATGTAACAAGAAAAGACACAATGAATGGCAAAATTGGAAATACACAGACTTGACAGGACTGACTGAAGTCAACAGGAAATATTGCCATGGCCTCATTATCTTAATTATTCTATTAAATTAGTATTTTTATATGAGAACAGMCAATAGACAATCTTTTTTTTTCACATATGCCTTGTCAAGAAATTGCTACTATTTATTTCAAAGCAAAGTGGAAATAGCCATCATGAGTTATGCTTTTTTTCTGCCCGAGGCCAGTTTGCTACGGGCCCTTTTATATACAATTACAGTTTGAATTTAGTCCAGAATTTCATCTATGTGAAAAAGACATGCTTCCATTAGAAGCCTATCAAGATTGTACTTAAGAGTTTCACATTTACTGTCTCTCAGCTTTCGGGCCATACAAAAAATACTGGGTTTATTCAAAATTATTTTTAACCTGTCTACTTTGAAGATCACTTTCCCTGCACTGTACATTTATGTCACACATCCTGAAGAGGGATCTCTGCACTGCTACTTCATAAAGCTTTTTCATGGGAGTATTTTAATAATTTCCACACTTATTCTAAATTACACTCAGGCTCATTTGGTCTTTTAGACAACAGCTGTTTTTCCACTAAGGCAGAAGAAGGYAGGACCAAAAGCACCAATTGTCTATGACAAACTAAAGTTTCWTGGGGAAGAAATCTTAGTTGCAGGAACTAGATTGAGAAAGGAATTTCACTGAAAGTCCTCTTTACTTTTGCTGAGGGTGTCCTGTTAAAAAAACCTTTAAAACACAGGAAACATATCCAAAACAGTATATGAATGTAATTTTTGGCCAGTATAAATGGACRTAGAGAGGGGTCAGAGTATAAGAACATAATCTGATTTGAATAAACATCAATGTGTCCTGGTTTTGGCTGGAATAGAATTAAATTCTTCTCAGTAGCTGGCACAGTGCTGTGTTGTGGGTTCAGTATGAGCATAATGTTGGTAACACACTCATGTCTTGGTTGTTGCTGTTGTGTTTATCCTGAATTAGGGACCTTCTTGTGTCTCATGCTCTGCCAGTGAAGAGGTACAGGGGAAAAAGACTGGGAGGGAGCACAGCCAAGACAGGCGACTCAAACTGGCCAAAGGGATGCTCCACACCATCAAACATCATACCCAGAATGTAAACTGAAGGTTTATATTACCAGTTACCCATAAGGGCCTTACTGGGCTTGAGGACATTGGCATTGGTTAGCAGGTGGTGAGCAATTGTATTGTGCATCACTTGTCTTTTTATAATTATTACTAATATTATTTACTATCATTATTATAATTGGCTTTGTTTCAATTATTAAACTTTTCTTATTTCAACAGTCAGGTTTTACTTTTGATTCTCCTCCACCGGGGTATGTGGAGGGGAAGGASTGGCTGCCTTAGTTGCCAGCTGGGGTTAAACCAGGCAACACCAGTGACTTTGAATAACCACTAAATAAGCTTACAATGGATAAAATAGGTGTAAAGTACAGTAGGCGTGACCTCTCTTGCATACCTCTGCTGCAATAGCTATGTTAGACGAATGAGGAGRTGTGATCTTTCATCACACTACAGAAACAGAAGTTCTTGTTTTAGATACAACTTCTAGCAGACTACCAGAGTCTACCTTTTTTCCCTAGGATAGCCCCTGTATATACTAGGCAAGATTTATGGGAAAAGGCAGGATCTATCAGAGCAGCTAAAAATGTATCAGGCCAGCATTAGCTAAATATATACATTCAGCTACATTCGGCAAAGAAACTCTCTGTCAGGACCCAAAAAAAGAGTAAATTGCCTGAAACTGTAAGTCTATAGCAGTCGCCCCGGCACGACAACTGATACAGTGTGCCTGTAAGCTAAAGGCAGAAGCACTTGTACTACACATCCAATTTAACAGAACAASTACAATTCACAACCTCTTAATCCCCCAGCTGCTTCAGAAAGGGAGGAGACAGATTATGAAGAGGCACTGACCCGGCAGTCCTTCTGTCAGACACCATGGGATGAGCCTCTCTGATGCACTGGCAAKAGCAACTGGGTGGAATGCAGATTTAACAGCTCGCCATTTATCCTGTCCTCTTTCTGTCCAGCTGGTCTTCACTTTTACATGCACTAGGAACTGGAAAAAACCCAGACCGCCTCAAACTAGAATCCCATGAGGACATTTTCACAGGAGTTARCATACTGTGTTAAAATTAGGCACCCACACAGTTCTAAATCCAAACAGTTGATTTAGGTGAAAACTACCAATGCCTTGCTCCAACCAGGCTGAGTTAACTTGAGAGACTGTTCCGTGCCTAACTGAGGCCACCAGTGTGGGTGTACTTGATGAAGGCACAAATATTTTAAACTGGGTAGCTCAGGTAGGGGTAAGAGCATCTCTATAGCAGCACAGAACTCACTGGAAACCAGCAGACGAACGTCTACCCAAATTCCTGACAGATATGTTGATTCCCTGTTGATTCTGTTGATATGAAGCAGAGTGCTGCACTACTTAACAACAATTTTAATCAAAGCTGACTACTTTAAAGTTACTTGTGATTTAAAGTTTAACATTACTTCAATTCCATCTTTGGGTAGAGAAATAACCTTAGGTAACTTGTCTGGCCACGTCTTTCTACCTTTTTATGATAGGAGGGATCTGTGAATTTCCAGATGTGAGATACCACCTTTTATAAAAGACAAGCAGAGGGGAAGCTGAAATCAGGCATTAAATGTAGCACATTGTTTTTGTCTTATTCCCCCCCCGCATAACTTTGAAAAAAAAGACAGAGAAAAATAGACACATATGAAGAAAGTGTATTACCAGAACTTTAGACAGTGGGTTTGGGTTGGTGCTTTTTTCTTTCTTTTTTTTTTTTTTT